GATAGGGCGTCCGCAATAGACTTCTCTGCTTCGTAAACTACTTGATATTCAAAGTCGATTCGCTTGTTTGCCATTTTATAGTTCGCGACCTTTGATCCTTTTCGTTTTTAACCAGGACTTGTGACCGTAGATATGCACTCGGTCGTACTCTACGGCACTGACAACGTCGCCGCGAGTGATGTTTTTAGACGCTCCCGTCTCTTTTGATGAATTAGTCTGGGTTTGTATTTGCAAGCTATTTTATTTGGGTATATATCGATGTTCTCAACTGTCTGGCCCGGTTTTTCGGGCTCGATCCACAACGGCGATTCGCAGGGCGAATTCGGATTTTCGATTGCATGTTTGTATGTCTGTTCGTTTGCCTGTCCATCCTTCTCTTGAGAATCGGCGGATGACAATGCTGTTTCGCGTGGTGCCTCGTAGGTAGTCAAATTTTTGTGCGTAAAGGTCTCTGTTTTCCCTGGCGCGTTGCTTGCGAGATGGAAGAGGTCGAAATTTTGATCGGTCGACTCTGATACGTAGTTCTTTTCTTCTTCGCTCAGGTGTGTCGTCGGTATGACCGAGTTTAATTCGCGGATTCGCTCGTATACGGATAGCTTACTGTTTATGTCGAGGGCGCGCGAATCGGCGGATTTGGATTTTTCCGTTTGCGACGCCACTGGCGGTACGTTTGAGACTGTCTCGACGTCTTCCAGCACTATGACGGGCGCGGATATGACGCGGGCTTCGTCAGAAGTGTTGACGCATGCGACGGTGATACGATTCTTCTCGCATCGGACTAACGAATCGTGAATCGTTACGTCGAGGGCTATTTCTCGTTTCGAGTGATATGCGACGGGCGGACCTTGAATTTTTGATACGAAACGGCACGAGCGGGTATCGTCATTGTTGGTTGCGAGAAAGGAATGGTTACGTCTCCCCATGTAACATTTTGCTCGGGGTGTGATATTGCGGTTCCGGCGGAGCAGAAGGAAGATCCTAAGAGCCCTTCGGTATCGCGAGAGTGTCTGGAACAACGTGGAAGTCGATGGTTTTCCGGCGATATAAATTTGAGCGGAACACAGAGTCTCGACTCGTTCGTTCATAATACCTTGTAATGCGTGGCTGGGTTAAATTTTACGTTTGATTTTAGCGCTCAATTTTGACTCAGATTTGATCAATTTTGACTCAGCTCCAGTGTTGAGCAGGAATTTGGTAACGCGCGCGAGTTGCGGTGATTCCAGTTGCACGCGTGGTATTAATAATTCAGTGGGCGAGCTTAGACTCGTGATTCGAGGTTTTGTTCTCCCTCAGGGTTGCGTTTTGTACCATTAGTGGTCTCTCCTGCATGCTTCTCGGTCTCTCCTGCATGCTTCGCGGTCTCTCCTGCATGATTCGCGATCTCTCCTGCATGCTTCGCGGTCTTTCCTTCCGTCGTGGCACGCCCTTCGACAGGAGTGGGAAAATGTTTCCCGAATACGAATTGTTTGTCTGTCTCCTGCGGCATTCGTGCGTATCATGTCCCGCTATCCTTCAGTAACTGCAGTATTGTTCGGTATTTGAAGCACGGCGATCAGAAATTACATAGATGCGCGACGGCTCGTAACGCGGGCCGGTGTTTCGCGAACGCGTCGTTTGAAGTGGGCTGTATTCTGGTTGTCGATGGGATGGCGAGTACGGCTGTGACGTAGGACTTCGCTCGACCTGTGGAGAGGGGGAGTTCCAAGAATCTGCGTGATGTAGATAACGCGTCGCATCAGCGTACGTCTCGCGATGATTGTTGTCTTTGGATTCTGAGAACTGAGAGCGTCGTGCCTCTAAACCGTAGTGCGATTCCTCTAGTCGCACGAACTGATAAATCTCAATGGCCTCTTGAAATATATCGCTCAGCGACAGATTCTCGACGC